TTTTGTTGTTTAGCTTCCTGTTAAAGATGAGATCATATGGTATTTGTCTTTCAACACCTGGCCTACTTCACTCAGCATAATGCTTTCTAGTTCCATCCATGTTGTTGCAAAGGGTATTAGCTCCTTCTTTCTCTCTGCAGCATAGAATTCCATTGTGTATATGTACGACAATTTTTTGATCCATTCATTTACCGATGGGCACCTAGGTTGCTTCCAACTCTTCGCTATTGTAAATTGTGCTGCTATGAACATCGTGGTGCATAGGTTCTTTGAAATTGATGTTTTAGGATTCTTAGGATATAATCCTAGCAGTGGAATTGCTGGGTCAAAAGGCAGGTCGATTTTTATTTTTCTAAGAAAATTCCATACTGTTTTCCATAATGATTGTACCAGTCTGCAATCCCACCAACAGTGAACTAAGGACCCCTTTTCCCCACAACCTCTCCAGCTCTTGTTGTTTGTTGCTTTGTAAAAATATGGCACGCTTCACGAATTTGCATGTCATCCTTGCCCAGGGGCCATGCTAATCTTCTCTGTATCGTTCCAATTTTAGTATATGTGCTGCTGAAGCGAGCACGGAAGGCTTGCTTTTGTTGTCTCTAAAAGAGTCTACTTGCCAGTTTGGCCCTTGGAGGGCTGCTGGGAACCCGGGTTTGGGAATGACCCCTGGGATGTCCAGTGATGAGGTTGTTTGGTGCGCCAAGGGTGCTGCAGTTCCTTGCGGAGCCTGCCTAGACTTCTTTTTTCCTTTAAACCATGTGATGTATAGTGAGCACTCCCCTTACTACAGTTTTAATGATTGTGACCGATCGCGATAGTAGAGAACACCCAAGAGACCAGCCTTGTTTTATCTGGTCTTAAATGAGGAACCAGGCAAATTAGCAGTGGGAGGCTCAGGGATGCATTTTGGGTAGATCGGATGGACTCCAGAAGCACAGAATCGTGGGTGAGAAGGATATGTTTGGAAATTGTGGGAAGGTCTTTGTACCTGGCGTGTGTATCTTATGAGTGCTTGGAAAAGAAGAGGCCTGAGAGAAGCGGCAAAAGCTAGGGTTGAAAACCCTTCATGGCCACGGCTGGAAGTTTCCACTTTACTCCGTAGCCAGTAGGGACCAGCAGAAGTCTGCAAGGGAGGGAGTGAAATCATTATATTGTTATTTTTTGAGGTAGTTCTGGGAATAGTGTAGAAGATGGCCATAATTAGGGAATGAAATTGGGAGATGGAATAATTAAGGTCATTGTCACAATTAGCTGAGAGATATTGAGGGCTTGGATTAGGCAGTGAGAAGAGAGAATGGGCCTGAGTTTTGGGGGAGGCGTTCCCAAGGCTGGATGAACAGAAATTGGTCAGTGTCGGGGAGGGAATATTGCAGCAGAGGAGGGTCCAGAGAAAATGAGTATGTGGAGGGTTTGAGGGCGAGGGAGAAGTTCATTGCTGTTCTCTTGAGTTTCTAGGTCGGAAGACGGAATGCGTGGTGATGGACTGAAGTCAGAGTCAGCTGTGTTAGGACAGGGGCGGGGCTGAGATTTGTATGCCTGGGGAGCGGTGGGAATATGGAGCCGGAGAAGGGAGACTACATCCAGGCCGGAGGAGGGGTGGGGTCCTCGGCTCCGGGCCAGCCACAGAGCAGGTGAGAAGAGGCCATCTGAGGAGACAGGCGAAGCTACAAGGAACCCTAGAGCATCAGCATACCTGGCCTTGTATATATGTGATTAATCTGTTAATTGTATACATAATGGGCCCTACATGAAGCAAAAGAAATGGGCACATTTTATTGGGAAATCTAAAGGATTCCTTCCAAGTTCTCCTAAGTACACTGTTGTACATCAAAGCAAGTCACTCAGATGCAATTCTTCATGCGTAGCTGCCGGACCGAGCAACTGACTTATTAACCCATGTGTGATCCTCAGTTTGAATTGACAGTAAACCCCACCCCTTAATCTGTCTTGCTATATCCACTCTTGCATCACTATGGAGAATTCTCTCCATAGTAGTTACAAAGGTGTTTTTTTTTCTTTCTTTTTGGAGGGAGTCAACTAAACATGACGTCAGCCCCTGTCTAAGACCTCACCTGTTTCTCTGGCCCCGGCCAACCTCTCTCTCCTCATCTCTTATCTCCCATCTTTGTGAGTGGGCTCCAGCCAAAGGACCCTTTCAGTTCCTGCCTCATGACCTGTGTGTATGGCAGGTGTTTAATAAGCATGAAGTGAATGAATGAGTGGCCGCTGCCGGTCTGTGAGAGGCGGAGGTGAGACAGCACACGAAGAGCCTGTGAAGGTGCCCGTGCACTAGCGGTGCGCAGTGCGTGCCGTGTGGGACCGTCTCTGTCTTCGTGTTGGCCTGTCTGTAATTCCGAGTTTCTCTGGTCCTCTTCTGTTCCGATCCACCTATCCAGCTCGCCCCATCCAGCCACCGCACTGTCTTTGGTTTCACGTCTCGCAGGCAACAGGTCATGCGTGTTGGCGTCTCTCTCCCATTGGCACTTGATATGACTTCAGTAATTCCCCAGGCTTTTCTGCACCTGTCGTCTCCTGAATAAACCCAGTTCTTACTGTGCTGAAATAATTAAGCATGACTTTGGTGCCAAGGGCACCGAGCATGTAACGACCTTCCGAGTGGGAACCCTCTGGGGCCCCAGTCCCAAAGACGCCGCCAAAGGCACTCTCACCACTCAGAAAGCCAGATAACATCACAAATATGTGGGTTTGGAATCGGCAGTTCCCGCGTGAAAGCCAGTACTTATCGAGCACCAGCTCTGGGCCGGGCAGCGTCCTCAGCACTTTACATGCAGTACCTCACTCCGTGGGTCTGATTTGATTAGTATTCCTGGTTTCCACTTGCTGACTTGCCCGGGGTCACACTGCTAGTGGTTTGGAAGTTGGGGCTGGAGCCCAGGTGGAATTCCAGACCCCTGCCCTCAGCTCTGCTTTCGTATTCCGCTGCGCCCCAGCAGCAACTCGGGGTCAGAGAGTTACCTTTCATTCTCTAGCGTTTGATTTTAAATTTTAAAAATGATATGCAGCTCTGGTTTCAAAAGCCCTTCCCTGATTCCTCCCCACTGTTCTGCTCAGGTCGTATTTCCCTGACGGCAACTACTGTTAACACTATTTTCAGAATTATTTTCTTTATTATAAGACTTTCCTTTTCGACCTCGCAATGTGGTTCTCCTCTCAGCTTTTTGTCTTCTGGAAAGTCAGCTTATTCCTAGTTAGTTGGTGAAAGTGTAAAGTACAAATGGTCCAAGGTCAATGTGAGTTGACCCTGAGAAAGTTGTCCCACTGCTGTCCCAGGCGGGTTTCTAAAATCAACGAAATTCTGAACCTGTTTGGGACCAATCGACGTGAGTGTCAGCCTGAAGAAGTCCTACCACTTCCACCCCAAAACTCCAGGCTGGTGAATTCTGCAAGTCCCCAGGACCCACGCTGTCCCTTGACAATGCAGCTGTGGCTGTGTGGCCTCGACACACACAGGAAAATGACGAGCCCTTTGGGGTTAAGGAAATGGAAATGGGGTTGGATGCTCTTTTCAATGCCCGGCTTTATGGACTCAAGCATCCTGTGTTTTCTGAACAATGAGAAGAGAGTTTTGTTTCCAGATTTCTATCTTTGCTCTGCCCCTCCCTTTGTGAAGGAGAATGCTCTCATTTTTAATCAGTGACCCAGAAGCACCCTGTGGAAATAAATGGCTGTGCTTTTCTGCTTGCATGGGGGTATTTTCCCTAAAGGTGAGGCCACCAGCGGTGCCGTGCTTGATCTCATTTTGAGCACACTCACATTCAGCGTGCGGATTGGCCAGCTGGCCCCTCCTACTGGCACCTCATTGCCTGCCACTCCCAATTGCCTTGGTGCATGTATTTCCGTGAGGCCTCTCCTGGTCCCTGGAGAATGATGGCTGGTTGCCCACCTGTGCTCTGTGTGTCTTGCACAAGGGGCATCTGCACCCATCGGTTGCTCAGACTTTTCCCACAATCCCTCAAACATCTCGGAGAGTGTCACCTTAGCTTTCTGGGTGCACCTCTGATTTAACTTACCCTTTTCTCATTCTGCTGCTTTCTTCTGTGACATGGGTACATTATGAATATCTAAAAGTCCTCTAGAAGTGGCTAAACTTAGCTGTTCCAGTGTACCCACTAGACTCCAAAATCTAGTAGTATTAAGGTGACTAATGCATAGCTTCAGTGACGAGAAGCACATGCCTGGATTGGAGTTCTTCACTGTGCCATTTTCTTTATGTTGGTGTGAGCCTGTGTGCCTGGCTTGTAAACTAGTGGCGTTATGAGTAGCACACCGCTAAGACTGCTGTGAAGGTCCAGCGTAACTGAACAACATGTGGCGATCACAGTATCAGCAGAGAGAAAATGTGCCACAAATGTCCGTTGGCCGCATGCTTAATGTATTTTTGTATCCGCGCATAATGCAAATAAGATATAAAACCTAAGTGACAAGTTCATTTTGTTTTAGTTTTTACTTGCATTGCAAGGAGAGCAAACTGTGAAGGAGGGAGTTTTCAGTGATCAGACCCAGTGCTCTGTCTCTGAACTTTTCATGAAGTGACTCTATTTACGTTCGTAGATCACCACAGCACGCATATTAGTGATGGGAAAGCAGACCTACCTCCCCGCCCCGCCGCCCTCAGCAGCTAGTCCGTGTTCCAGTGACGCGGCGAGGGCAGAGGCTGATCCCGCAGCGTGAGGCTCCGGCGTGTCTTGTGCTTTTCCTGGCAGGTTGACTCATGGGGCTCTTCTCTGGGAACACTCCCTCTGAGCAAGACCAGGTGGCTTAAATCCTCCTGGGTTGCTGGCTCCAACACCACGAGATTTCGGTGCATGTGTCCAGGCAAACCACACTTTTGGCCTTGAGAAAGCATCGCATATCTAATAGCCTGTGTGCTTGAATCAGATCTCCACCCAATGGAATGTTGGTGCACTTTGGTTTTGGGTGACGGGGCTGCCGCTTTGTGACCCTGTCTTCAGGAAGGTCCTTTGTTCCTCTTTCTGTAGGTCTAACATCCGGCCAGACCACGCCGACTCCAACTGCCATGAGTTTAAGATGCACACCTTCACCCGGGTGACCTCCTGCAAGGCCTGCCACATGCTCCTCAGGTGAGTGTGGGGGGCCTGGTGCTCAGTGCCAGAGAGAGGGTCGAATTGCTGAGTGATTCAGACTTTCCCGACATCCCAGCCAAACGTTCCAAAGCGGGAAGGCTGTCGTCATCGCTTGGGCCCCCCAGAGCTTTCCTTGGCCTTGAACCTGGACAGGTTCTCCAGACCCCGGGGAGGTCCCCGTCCAGTGCCAGGAGAACTTTGCATGTGGCAGTGCGTGCCCTTGTTTTCCCGTCTTGCAGTCAGGATCTCGTCAAGGTGGAACCGAGCCCCTTTTAACCTCTCTCTCCGTCTTTCTCTCTCTCATTTCACCTCCCAGGGGCACATTTTATCAAGGCTACCAGTGTGTCAAGTGTGGCGCGAGAGCACACAAAGAATGTCTGGGCAGAGTAGACAGCTGTGGCAGAGTTAATTCTGCTGGTAAGTCACCTTTGTTGTTGTGATTCTGCTTTAATTAGGACATAAAACTCGCTAGACACAGCGGAGGCCTAGTTAGCTCTTTGTGTGTGTTTACTGGGGCGTGTCCACTCTGCACCGATCATTTCTAAGCACAGGTAGAAAACTGCTGAGGTTCACGTGAGTTGTCTACCCACCTGGCAGGCAGAAGCTTCAAGAGGAGCTCGGGAGGTCGCATGCCCCCCACTTCACCCACCCCGGCCCCCCGATGTCACAAACACTGTATGGGTATCCCCCCAAACAGACAGACGGAGTAACAAAAACCAGACCAAAAATGTTTCATCATTTCTGTCTTCAGTTCCTGAACTTCTCCCTTATTCTCTTAAATATCTGGCTCAGAAATGCTAATGATACCAGAAGTAAACACCACGCAGACTAATTCATGAATTAACGAACTGAATACATTGCCATTTTCTGGCATTTAACGAAGAGCAGAGAGTCTTTGGGTTTTGTGCCAACATTTCCCCCTTGGTCTTTAAAAATAATGCCCCTGATTGTTACAGGAGCCGGCTTCTGAGCCGGCGGCCGTACGCGCTCAGTGGCCTTTCGCCTCTCTCTCCTCCTCTTGGGCCCTCTTCCTTCTCTTTCTTTTCTGGCCTCTTTCTTCTTTCTCTTTCTTCTCCTTTGTCTTTGTCCCTTTTCCCCCTGAGTTTCCCTGTGTTTTATCAATCAGACCTTTCAAAATCAGCACCAGTTTTTGAAGAGAAGAAAGGGGCCTTTAGCAGCTTGAGTTCAAAAGGGAGCCACGTCAACCTTTGAGTTTCCCAGAGGGAAAGGTGGACATTGAATTATTTTGGATAATCTGAAGAAGAGGGAGCCAGAGAATAAAAGCTCATTTCAGGGCCGGCTGCAGAAAAGGTGTGAATCCTATTAGAAAGCTGAGATCACAGCAGGTTCCTCTCTGCTCCCTCCGCGGACATTTCTCAGGGCCCCGGAGCCGTTCTCTGTGAGAAGCAGGCAGCGGCTTGGAAAAAGGGCTGGTGTTGGCAGAATGCCTGCGCTGTGCGTGCCCCCCCCCCCCCGCCCCCCTGGGGGCCAGTGCGGGCCCAGGCTGCTTCCCTAACTTTCTCAAGGCCGGTCAAGTATAGGAGATGAGATTAGCACCCGCTCATGTCTCTGAAGGTCACAAAAACAGTCTACAAAGTTATAAAATATGGAAGAAATATTGTGTAGCGTTATTGTTAGTTACTCTTTGTCTACCCAACACAACTGATCCCTTAAACTTCATCGCTCATTTGCATGGGCCGCATCCTTCCATGTCTTTGAGGACAATTCACATCATTTGCCCACAGAGGCTAATAACGTGGTTCTGTGAACCCTGCAGCCTGCTTTACGAGTTTCGGTCTGGGAGACCATCAAGGTTCCGAAGTTGAATCAGTCCGTGTGGTTCTTCCATCCCACAGGGACTGGTGTGGGAGAGTAGTTAGAGCCAAGGAGAGGTGCTTGAAACCCTCACTGCGCTGTTTACTAGTCACAAGAGTTTGCAGGAGTTAATTCAACGTCCTGGGCTTTCATTTAGTCATCGGCAAAATGCAAATTAGAAGACTCTTGTGGGGAGTCACGTGAAATAATACTGACGTGTAGCACCGAGCCGGGTACACTCGGGGCCCAATATCGGAATCCAAGGTGGTGCGTTGAGAAGTCATTTTGTTCTCCTGTAATTTTCTTGTTGTTTTGGGGATGTAGAGTGAATGCAGATAAAAAAAAATCAGTGAGCACCAAACTTTGCAGTGAGACACAAGAATGACATTTAAAGGACTTTAACGTTTTAACTTTTATGTTAAAAAGAAGGTCAGTTTGAAACCATTGGGATTTCTGGTCTCGTCAGACGCAAGAGTGGCGCGTCTCCGGCACCACCTGTCTGTCCTCGGCCCGAGCAACCCCACGCAAGGTGGGAGCCGGCAGGCAGTGGTGGGGACTCCAGCCCACACTGCAGGCTGGTCTGGGTTCAGCCCGGCTCCACCGCTAACCTGCAGGGTGACGTGGGAGCCAGTTCTCAATCTCTCTTCCCTTCTCAAACAGGAATAAAATAGCACCTAGCCTTTAAAAGTTTTTTTAAAAATAAATATGTCTGAAGTGTCAGGTACTGTTCTGAGTACTCTACCACTGTTCACTCATTGAGTCCTATAAAAGTCCCAGGAGGTTGGTTTCACTGCTTTTCTTGTTACAGATGAGAAACTGAAGGACAGAGACACACGTAGCTCGTCTCAGGGTTTCATCAGTAGAACAAAGATTCACCTCCAGGAGGTCAGGGCCCGAGGCAGTTCCTAGCCCCTGGGCTGTGCTTCTGGGCTGTGTAGTAGCTAGGGTGCCGCTGCAAGGCACACACCCAGCCCTGCGAGACAACCTAGCAGAACCCCGGGCTTGGTTTTCTCTAGGGAAAGGAGAGATTTTCTAATAGTTTTTTTTTTAAAGCAGTAACACTTTTTTAAAAGTGTTTTTTATTGATTATGCTACTATAGTTTTCTTAATTTCCCCCTTTTATCCCCCTTCCACCCTGCCCCCCAACCCTCCAGCGTTCCCCCGCCTTAGTTCATGTCCATGGGTCGTACATGTAAGTTCTTTGAGTCCTGTTTCCTATGCCATTTTTTATCTCTCCCCGTCTATTTTACGCCTACCAATTATGCTGCTTCTTCCCTGAACCTATTCCTCCTATTCCTCCCTTCCCCTCCCCACTGAACTCCCTCTGCGTGATGTCCATTTCTCTGATTCTGTTCCTGTTCTGGTTGTTTGCTTAGTTTTTGTTTTTATTGTTTTTCTTTTCTTTTAGGTTCATTTGTTGATAGTTGTGAGTTTGGTATCATTTTACTGTTCGTATTTTTTATCTTTTTTTTCTTAGATTAGTCCCTTTAACATTTTGTATAATAAGGGCTTGGTGATGATGAACTCCTTTAACTTGACCTTATCTGGGAAGCACTTTATCTGTGCTTCCATTTTAAATGATAGTGAACAACACTATCATTTGCTGGATAGAGTCATCTTGAATGTAGGTCCTTGCCTTTCTTGACTTCAAATACTCCTTTCCAGCTCCTACTTGCCTGGAAGGTCTCTTTTGAGAAATCAGCTGACAGCCTTATGGGAACTCCTTTGTAGGTGACTGTCTCCTTATCTCTTGCTGCTTTTAGGATTTTCTCTTTGTTTTTAATCTTGGGTAATTTAATGATGATGTGCCTTGGTGTGTCTCTTTGGGTCCAACTTCTTTGGGACTCTCTGGGCTTCTTGGACTTCTCCTTTGCCAGATTTGGGAAGTGTTCCTTCATTATTTGTTCAAATAAGTGTTCAACTTCTCGCTGTTGTTGTTCTCCTTCTGGCACCTCTATGATTTGGATATTAGAACATTTTAGAACATTTCAGGTTGTCCCAGAGAGTTTTCAGCCTCTCTTTATTTTTTGGATTCTTGTTTCTTCATTCTGATCCAGCTGGATATTTATTTCTTCCTTTTGTTCCAAATTGTTGCTTTGAATCCTGGTTTCCTTCTTGTCACCGTTGGTTCCCCCAATAATTTGCTTTATTTCATTTTGAGTATCTCATTTTTTGACCAAGCTCAATCAGCTCTGTGAGCATTTTGATGACCAGGGCTTTAAATTCTCCATCAGATAGGTTGGCAGTCTCCTCATTGTTCAGTTCTCTTTCTGAAGTTTTGCAGTGTTCTTTTGGGCCATATTTCTTTGTGTTGGCTCAGCTGAGCGGTTGTAAGGGGGTGGGGCCTTAGGGGCAACCCTCCCTGCTGCTCTGTGGCGCCGCCCATCTGGTTGTTCTGGTTGATTTTTTTCTTTAATCTCTTGGTTGTCTGAGTTCCATGCAGTTTGATTTTCTGGAGATTTTGGTTGTTCATTGACTTTAGATTGGTTGTTATCCTCCTTTTGGTGGTGTGAGGAAGCTAAGCGTTTCTACCTGTGCCTCCATCTTGGCCAGAACTCCAGCAACAACACTTGAATCTAGTTAAATCAGTAGCCACCGGCCGTGTTTATGTTTAAATGTTTCGAAGTGCGAGAAATTCAGGCGTCCCTGAGGATGTCGTGCCATTCCTGTCCCCAGGGACTACCTCTGAGCTGGAAGACATAGACACCTTCAGCTCCGAGGCCTGTTGTGTGAACATGAAAAAAACCAAGTCATAAAAATAAGAAAATAAGATAACTAAGAATAAGTACCTGCTGCGCCCCCATCCTGGAAGCGGAAATGGAGGACTGGCCAAATTGTAAGCCAGTGATGAGATCCTCCGCAGGATGGGAAGTGGCCCATAAAGTCTAGCTTGCCCGTGACCTCAAAATAGTACCAATCTTCCCACTCTCCCATCGGCCCCAGCTCAAACCCACACTCTACCCAGGGCTGCAAGTCCACAAGGGAAGGAAAGGGAACGTCTGAGGAGAGGGTGCCCGAGTCCCACGTTGCAGGGGGCGCCTGTCCCGGAGGGTGGGACAGAGGGCTGTGGGTGGGGCGACGCCTCTGCACCCCGAGGAGAAGACGCCTTTCTTTCCAGGGCTCCCACCAAACCCTAATCTGAAAGCCAAAAAGGGAAGCACCCTGGGAGGTTCTTCCTCCTTCACGCCAGGAAGTAACTGACAGCGAGCATTCAGGGCATCGGTCTCTTAAAAATCTTGAGCAGAACAAGAGAGAAAGAGAAGAAAGGGGGGATGAGATCAGGACACAGATGTGCAGACGGGACAGCGAGGGCAGCGTCCAGACGCAGGGCGGAGAGAGCCAAGAGCGCGAGGGAATTCACGCTCCAAGACGTAAATTTTGCCAGGGGGTTAACCAACCTTTCTCCTGCCTTAAAATAAATTAAAGAACAATGCAGAACAAAGTCTAGAAGATGATGCTATTTTTCCATGCATGGCATCCGGGTAAGGAAACACGATCTACAATCTGCAGAGCACTGACAGTCTCTGCAGATTTTCAGAACCAGCGCGATGTCCTTGGCTGGATGTTGGCTGAGCAGAAGAGAAACAAGCCTGCATCCCTGG